GGGATTTGCCCTATCCCATGGGATATTGAAAATCCCATGTTTTTCTAAATCAAATTACAAAATATATATAATAATAACAGCAGAAAAGCAATGAAATTGTTGAATCCCAAGTAATTCCGCACATTTTGGTTATTTACACGACACTGTAGGTCTAAGGAGAGGCGGCGGCAGATTTGCAAATGAGTGTTTTGCAAATTAAAAGTGTCCAGTGTTCATAGCTTAAATGCTTTACTGAATTACTGGTAGTATATATTATTATTTAGGGGCAAGCTGAAGCCCCCCCCCCCCTTTTGGGTGCTGGATTTTCTTGCTCCAATGAAGATCATTGGTCTTGGGACTATTTTTAGCCTTTCGGTCAGGTTGATGTCTCTTTAATGCATTCTCTATTCTATTACGAAATTTAAGTTAAAATATATTTATAAAAAAGTATTCATAACACATATTAATATAGAACACTTCTTTTTTATTAGGTTGATGACAGTGACGCTACACAAATATCAGTATCTGAAACTCCTTGGAAGCCGATTTATTTTTCATGATTAATCTAATGTTTGTAAGAACAGTGGCATTTGGCCGGTACCGCAACAGCTGGTCTAGTTGTCCAAACACAAACTCAGGCTACTAAAGGCTTCCAAGACCAACAATCAACTAAACTCTATCTAACGAACAAGTACACCATGCAATCATAACATATATACTAACAGCGAGATAGGTCTCCTCGCCTGTCAGCATAGAGTTCAGCAGGACAATATGCGGGACAGAAACAATTATAATTCAAAGACTCGCTCGACCATGAACTAGAGGGCAGGGCCTCGAAATGGTCAACACACGTTTATGTTTATACAGTATTGTATCTTTATAGGCATCAATCTATTGAAAGTGGTTCCTGTCAACACAACTTAAACCGAAAACTGAACATTAAAAATTGGTACACAATTGATTCAGACAAATGGGCAAATTACGTCATCGATGGGTGTCTGTTAACAATTCCGAACATGTTTATAAAAATAAAATGTGGCATGATTGCCAACGAGAAAACTCACGTCAACGAACGATACAGAAATTAACAAATATATGTCATCGTACGGCTTCATTTGTAGAACTTATTGAGTTTCAAATCTTTGCTATTTACAATTTCTTTTCACCTATAATGGTTTTTGCAGAACACGCATACATCTCGCCTGTCATTGAAATTATTCAAGTAAAATGCGGGAAAAAAAAAAAAAAAAAACATAGGACATCACATTTTAATAAATAAACCAGATACAGAGCCAAATTAATTTCAGTGTTAAAGTTAACAAGATCTGTCAATGCGAATATAGAGATAATAGACCCCGATTAGGGACATGGGCATCTATCTTTATGGAAATGAGACGGGTCTATGAAATAACAATATTATTCGCATCCAGATGAACTTGAAGATAAACCAATGCAAGAGTTTGTCTATAGATCACGAACGTGACTGTGGGCCAAGCGGACACGGAAATGAGATGTGCAATTTTTGTATACAACTGCAAACCACATATCTTAATTAACCATTTGAGGCGTCCTTTAAACGGACCCAATAAAAAAAACTCCAATGTAGACTGTCAATTTGCTCCCTTCTTCAGCTTTCGAGACAGACACTGATAATTATTATTATTTAACTGGAATGCTAAATGTTTCATTTGTGTTGTTGGATTTCAGTCACACCAATATAAACAACAAATCTTGTATGAAATACTGGTTTGTGGTAAATTTGGTAGTTTATGTATTACTACTAAAGAAGTCTGAATGAGCAGGTCTGTAAGGAGGCGATGTCCAAACGCTAGATCTATTGCACACCCAACATAAATTCACTAATCATTAGTGGTTTGAACTCCCTGTAAAGTGACCATATTCAGTAAAGAAAACAAATGAAATACCTTTCACCTTTAATGTGAACAAAATTGATAGCATATCTCTGAATAACAAGAGTGCACACACTAATATGTCTTGTCTCCTTTAATGATCATTCCATTATATATAAAGCTTTACTAATTTTTTAAATACAAAATATTTATTGGCATAAAGTCATTAATTATAACAATGAATGGTTCCATTTAAAAGTCAGTCCTGTACAGTAGTATTGCATATAATAATATTTAAACAGACATATATTTATAATGAAAAGTTTATAGGATATTTAGAAAAATGTGAGTGGAAATAATTAGACCATATTACAATAATCACATGGGATGTTTTAAATCTGAATTTGGATAAGAAAAAAATGACATGAAAAAATATCACGGCCTTTTCACTGGTTTCAACAACCAGTGAAAAGGCCGTGATATTTTTTATTAAGCATGAAAGGACAAATTATCACGGCCTTTTCACGGGATATTGAAATTTCACGGTCTTTTTCTAACATCAAATATTTTTCACGGCCTTTAGAAATTTTTTTTTACAAAAGTCACGGGGTATTTTCACGGGGTTTTCACGGGCCTGTGATATTTCACAGACATTTCACGGCCTTTTTATGGGCTGTTGTTACAGTAGTGCTTGTCAATCAGTTTTATTTAAAGATTGATCATAATCTTCACTTTCATCTCTCAATACCAGATATTGATTTGATTAATTGCATTTAATCAGCCAGTGGTTACCTAAACAAGTTATATATTTTTTTAATTACCTAAACAGGTAATTTTTAAGAAAAGTTACTCTCAAGAGAATAATATTAAATTTCAATTGAAACAAAGGTTACAGAAACAGTGATGAGTTTAAAAAAAAAAGAGTCTTTACATTCTTTTAAAACATAAATAAAGTGACCATTGTTTTGAAGACAACCTTTAATCAATCTACACATCAATGTGCTTCTTTCTTAAAAGGTTTAAATCATTTCCCCAATACCAGATATTTATTAATTGCATTTAAGTATCACGACTTACCCCGATTCATTTAAAGGATGCTGCTCTTCATCTTCTTTGTCATCATTGGCATGTGGTCTAAAATTAAATATATGCAATTACTCCACTTTCCTTCAAAATGAAGTCATTTAATAAATTCTTTATTTTCCTTCACCGTACAAATATTGTTAAGTATTTGTTAATTATTTGATGTTAACTATGAGCAGGATGAAGTCAACATTTTATTCAGCCAGTGACGGACGAAAATATTATTGTTATCACACATTATCTTAACAAGACTCTAAACTTTAAAAGCTACAAATATAGGATAACCTAAAAAGACTTTATTAGTATATGGAAAGTACATTAGAAATTGTCATTCAAAGAAACAAAATGTTTTTAAAAATCCGCAAAAAAGGGTTTTCTTCTAATGTGAATCAACTATAAACACGTTTGATTAAATTGAATCGGAAAACATGTTACCAAAAAGTCATGATCAAACCCGGCTATTTTTGGCTCAGTGGTGTACATTTCAGCATCTGTTTTTTTAAACTGACGACGTAGTAAAGGCATGGTTGGGAGAATTTACTTTCTATTGAAATTATAATAGGGTTTTTTGGACATTAGAGAAACAGATTCTTACATTGTTAGCAGTGGATTATCGTGTTTCTCCAATCTTGATAGCTAAATTACTGAATTTTAAATCCTCGCACAGGCTCGGACTTAAAATTCCATATTTAACTATCTCTATTGGAGAAACACGATAATCCACTGCTAACAATGAAAGAATCTATATTTCCTTAATACTTTATATACATCTTTCTTTAAAAAACATAGACATGATTTATGAATACAATGAAGAATTGATATTAATAGTTGTAATACAAAGATCCAGTTGTTTTTATAAGGGCTCACTGCATGCCATAGGGGCCCTGCTCTAATCATGCTTAAGTACATCCCTATATAATAAAACCTAATTGTCTCAGGTAAATTTTTCCTGCTACTGGTCTTGGCTTAGCATATTAAAGGGTACAATGTAGTAAAAATATCACTTCTTTAAGTCATCTCTGTGATCATTAAACAATCTTTGAAATAACTCATAATTAATATACATTGTAATATAAGAAAAATATGTTATTAATTAATATTGTTTTGGGTTATAAATTGTAAAAAACTTGAAAATGGTAAAGTTCTAATCAGTGAATCATAATTTCAGGAAATTGATATTTAATACTACAATTATCAGATAAATCTTTGACCTACAATGTACAAGCCTGTAGTATATCAGCTTGATTAGTTGTTATTCTTCATGGCAAAAATGTCCAGATGTTTGACAAAATCTGTTTATGCTAGTAAAATCTGTTGGAATTTGGAAACCTCTGTATTAGATATATATACACCACAAGGGTGACAACCTGAGAAGGTGTATCTAATTTACACCCCAAGATATATATTTCTTTATGTTAAATTATCTATAATTTAGGAGGGGGTCTTTCATGAATTCTACCTTATTTATTAGATACCCTTCATGAAAAAATGGTGTCTGAATTCTGTCTGACAAGTATTCTTAATTTTTCTTATTTTTTTCTTAATAATGTCTGAATGGCTATAATAATTTACATTTATGCAAATGTCTGAATTTTTGCTGGATTTCGGACTTTTAAGGAAACATTCAGAATTTTCATATGAACATTCAGACAAAAATCAGAAAAGCATTCGGACACAAATCAGAATAATGTAAGAATAAATTAAGACATTATTCAGAATGAATTCAGAAAAATTTTGAACTTAATCAGAAAGAATAAGAAATAATCAGACAACATTCAGAAACATCCAGACAACATTCAGAAATATCCAGACAACATTCAGATGGATTCAGACAGATTCAGAAGGATTCAGATATATTCAGAAAACATTCAGAATGATTCAAAATGTGGATATCCATACAAAACTTTGAAACTTATACAACAGAAATTCCCCTAAAAACCCCAAAAGAAGTTCTTGAAGTTGAATGAAAATCAATGTGCTTACACATTGATGATGGTTAAATATCCATAGCCTCTAAACAATAATTAAAAAAATCCAAATTTTCAGGAAGTTTGTAAATTAATAGTTTCAATAACATAAAATTCAAACTTTAAATTTTCGATTCAATTTTATTATCTGATATGGATCTGTGATTCCCTGGTCTGTTCTTTTCCTGCCTCTCGGAGTCTCCAGCTCTCTTTTCTTTATGAGTAAATACCCTTCAAAATAGAATGGATCATCTCACATACAAAATTATATCAAGTAGGTGCAGGTATCTTATGACCTAAGTGAATAAAAACAAGCTAATAAAAGAACAGAATTCTAATGTCCCCTGTGTTGCATATGTCTTGTCTGCCCAGGGACAATAACTACAATTCCACAAATTCTTGTTTGAACTGTTAGTAATTCTCTATAATATTTCTTTCTATTTCCCTAAATCCAACTCTTGACATTGATTATGTAAGCCATTGATATACATTTTATAAAAATCTGGCATGAATTGTACATATGAGTGCTATTTTCTATATTAAATTAACATTTCTAAGAGACTTAACTCCTGTCATGCCTGTTAAAATAATTCATAACCTCTGATATTTCGACTTGTTCCATATATAGCTTATACACATTTCACAATAAATTTTATTATTCTCCTACAATGCAAGTTGAGATTGCTTACAATTTTAATTTTTTTACCTAATTTATATTTGCAACAGGAAAAACTCATTTAAAAATAGTTTGTTTTGAACTGATTTTTACACTTGTCAAGGCATTGCAATAAAATTTTGATATGTATTTCATTAAAATATGGTTTGAATTGCATACACGATAGCACTTAGAAGACCAGATCGACAGGAGCTCAATATTTCTATGTCCCCTAGCAATGCATCACACAGTAGAAAAACAAAACATTCTTTGAGTGGAACATTCCGTATACAAATATACAAGTCCTAGTACCAAGAAAATTCATATTTGAGTTAACTTTAATTATAAATGGGCATATATCTAAGCAATTCTTCAATCCCATATGCAGTACATGTATTTTGTTAAGCACTTGGAAACCATTTTTTTGGACAAATTCAGTCTATTTTTAAAATCTTTGACCTTGACCTCAAAATTAGTTGTTGGGAATCCTTTAGGAATCTGTAACCACATGGATATCATGCTGATTTTTTATTTATAGTACAATGTATTAGTTTTCAATGTATTTAAGGAATGACTGTAATATTTTTTCTGTCTATGATGAAATAACATAAAAAATGTGGTGCACACTGAATAACCCGAAAGTCATTCCTTATAATTTAATTCTAACAAGGAGTAACTCATGATAAAACCGTTGATGACGTCGCGGTCACATGACAAAATTATGTCTATGAGCTGATAGACAAATCACTTTCAGCCAATCAGAATAAATTATATGCAAATAATTTAGAAATTCATTATTTCCAATATATTTGGAATTCTAGTGTTTTATATTGTCATGTGTAATGAATGTGTCGTTGTTATAGCTAAATTTAAGGTATTGGCTTTGCTTGTTGTTAAATTTAAAGGCTGTATGTTGACCTATAGCTATTATCATGATTATTGCTCTCATCTACATTTGTAAGGCATTTATATAGTAGATAGTTGTCTCACTGGAAAACATTCAACACTTCCAGCTTATTTTTATACTATTAAAACTAAAGCATGTACATACCAGATACTGTTGATTTTGCACCATTTTTCTTTTTAATAGTTCTGTTGAAAATCATGAAAATAAAGTCTTAAGTCTCGTTCACTGACGTCTGAGGAACCAATTCTAAAAATTAAAATATTAGTATCAATACTGACACCTAAATTTATGAATTCTTATAAAATATTCATCAGTTGTCAAAGTGAAATTCAAAAAGAGCCATCAGAAAACACTTTATTAAAATTTGATGGGTTGTGTTTTTTTTAGAAAGATATTAGAAATAATCAATTAAAGTTTTATCAGTGTTGGTCTTACAACCCCCTTCGCTTGGAAAAAGTAAAATCACAAAAATATTGAACTCCGAGGAAAATTCAAAACGGAAAGTCCCTAATCAAATGGCAAAATCAAATGATAAAACACATCAAACGAATGGACAACAACTGTCATATTCCTGACTTGGTACAGGCATTTTCAAATGTAGAAAATGGTGGATTGAACCTGGTTTTATAGCGCTAAACCTCTCACTTGTATGACAGTCGCATCAAATGGAACCGAATAGCCCATACTTTGATTTTGAATAGAATAACACACATGTAACATATGCAACTAATATATATACTCGAAGGTTAAGTTGACATCTAAGTGAAATATTTGGAAAATCCCCCTTATTTTAATGAAAAAAAAAACCATAACTTGGAAACGTAGTTCTAAATTTATAAAAATCGAAAGAGAGCTAATGTCAATAGATATTAACAATTCACCGAAGTTTCTTGCAAATTAATGAAATTTTTTTTGAGTTATTGTCCGAAAACTGGAAAATCCCCCTTTTTAATGGAAAAAAAAACACAAACTTAAAATCTAAAATTTATAAAAAAAATTACGGTTTACCATAATACATCCCATAAATGGGCGTATAAAAATAGGGTAGGTAGGTAGGCAATTTCATTTAATTTTACTAACATTTTTTATGCAGGTTTATCTGGTTACTACTAGGGAATCAGTCTTACTTTATCAGTGCTTGTTCCTAAATGGCATAAATGTGTTAGGGTTACAGCCCCCTGTAAATGTTTGAAATTGAATGATTTAAAATTGAAAGTTATATGGGGTAAAGGTGTGCATCTTATTGATGTACGGTTAATACAGAAGAGCATGTATACAAGGTAGCACCTATGTTTATTGTTGTAAAAGCTATGTTGCATTCAAAATGTTTTTGAATATTTGAGGTTTTGGGTTCCTGTTTCTTTGACATCTACGTTACTGTTTAGACAAAATAATTGTTGTTTGCATTATCCCTTATGAATTCAAGTTAGAAAAGTAAATAGGTCAATCATAAGACCAAACTGTGATCATTACAAGTAGCATAACCATTTTTTGTGTAAATATATAGTTAGGAGAATTAATTTTCACAAAGTTTTCATTGTTTTACCAGTACTATTTTCATAGAGCTTAAGCTATATGATTTTGGCACTAATATACTGATCGACTATGCCAAGGTGAAAAAATAAATAATTGTATATTCTTATAAATTGTAAAGTTGCTGTGATTTATTTTGTGTCTCTTCTGTGTCATTCTTACCTCAAAACAATTGGTGTTTTTCCACATTATCATAAACGCAATTTCAGATCATCTTTCATCTAACTTCATATGGCCCAGTTCTTTTAAAAGAAGTGAATATTGTTTTTTATTGGTATAAATATTGATTTTGTTATCAGTCAATTAAAACCATACTAAAGATTACTTTTAAACACATGCACATTTAAGATACAACAATCTGTTCAATACCTATGTACTCTATAAAATAGTATGTGTGGTTCAAGTTACATTTAAATAAAAGTTAGGGTAGGTATTTAATAGCCTACATGTACCATATTCTATGTCAGGAGCCTGTAATTGAGTGGTTGTTGTGCTGTTTGTCATATTTGTTTTTCTTTTAATGTTATGCATAGTTTGTTCGAATGTTGTGCCATAACACCACTGTCCCGTTTGGTGCAATCAAATTTAGTTTAACTCCTCCACATTCTATATGTGCCTGTTCAAAGTCAGGAGCCTGTAGTTCAGTGGTTGTTGATGTTTCATGTACTGTCAATTATCTCTTGTTTTCGTTAATTGTTTTGTAATAAATTGGACTTTTAATTTTCTCAATTGAATTGTTTCATATTTTTATTGTCAGGACCGATTATACATGTAGCAGTCCATACATGGTATAGGTTTGCCTCATAGTTAAATAGTGACATAAAAATTTTACAGGAACATTTATGATGTCCAGTCATGGTGGACAAATAGCTATAAGTTGTATGGTCCACACACAAGTCACAAAAATAATAAAAATGGGAAGTGCATAATGCCATACTTGTATTTAGTCTTATATGCATGATTTTTTTATTAGTTGTTAGTGGCTTTGAACTAGCGGTCAGTAACTTCAAGTACTCTCAGATCAGTACTTAGTGTCTTTTTGTTGTTGGGATATACAAGTACCCGGGAAATCCACTCTGTGTTTTTGTTAGATGTATTTTATTTGTATCCATCTGATGAGTTAAGCGCCTTTTTCAACTGATTTTTATAGTTGTTCTTATGTTGTACTGTTACACCACTGTCCGAGGTTAGGGGGGGGGGTCTCGCTAACATGTTTAACCCTGCCACATTAGTCAGGAGCCTGTATTTCAGCGGTTGTCGTTTGTTGATGCGTAACATATGTTTTTCTTTCTCTTTTTGTACATAAATTACGCAGTTTGTTTTCTCATTTGAATTGTTTTACATTTGTCATTTTGGGGCCTTTTATAGCTGACTGTGTATGGGCTTTGCTCATTGTTGAAGGCCGTACAGTGACCTATAGTTGTTAATTTCCGTGTCATTTGGTCTCTTTTTTATATACACCTTATCGCTTTTCCCGGCTGACCCGAGAATCTGTCCCGCTTTAACTATTAACGTCATACAACAATCACTTTTCCATTGTGGCATCAGGTATTTTATATTATGACGTCAAAATTTTACGAGAACTTGTGGTTGTCCAGTAATGGCCGACAAATAGTGATAAGGTGTATTGTAATTAAAATACTGTAAATTCAGAAATTATTGCGTGCATTTATTATTGAGATATTGTCATTTTCGACTAAAGTGCGATTTTCAAATTTTGCGATATTGAGACAAATCCTGTTTACTTCATGTACAAAATTTCAAAATCATTAATGTGAGTTTAAATTATCCCCATTACAACCCTGTCGCATTTTACAGTAATACTTTTTGTGAAATCTTTATTAAAAATCAGTAATTGACAGACATTGACCTATTGTTCCTTATTTTGATGTCATTTGCCATGATTTGGTCTCCAGTAGCAGTGGACAATTGTCTCATTGGCAATCAAACCAGATCTTATTTTTATATTGACATAATTGTATATTGTATGGTAAGTAATTTCATTGCTTTTCTGTGACACCTTGCTTTCTCCCAGCAAGACTATAAACATAGCCTTAAAACTACAAGACCTCATAATGATTTGGACTATGTTTACCCATATTATATAACATGTTGTTTTGAATTTTGAATCGAATAAATATGGTATAATCTGACTGTATGAGGGTACGACCATTCAATATTTTATTACAGGGGGAGGCAGGATGAATTTTGGAATATTTATTTTGTGATTCCTGATTGTTTTATTTTTTTGTTATACACATAAAGTCTTAAATATCCTTTATTTTGGTGGGAAAAATAATTTTTCATTCTGATATCTTTAAGGGCAAGGCAAGATTATTCATTTTCCAAATTCCCTGCTCCCACCCACAATATTAAATGGCCGTTTCCAAATAAAAAAATTGTCAATAGACTCATACCCGTTTGGGGACATTGTTCTTAGCCTGTGCCTGTGGTGAATAATTCATTAGTTGTATGTGCGGTTGGATTGACACTGACAGTTCACAAGTTGAAGTCAATTTTCTGGGCAAGTTGAAAACCATCTTCTGAATGGCAGACGTCCCAGGTATTTACCACAGACGTATTTTACGTAGGACTCGAAGTTATACAAATGGACAGGAAAAACGGGTTTTTTTTAGGCATTTATCATAAAAACAATTAACCTGCTAACCGATTCCCTGTGAGAAAAACGGCCTGGAGTCCGAACATCAAATCTGGTTGGTACCAAATCGTTAGTATAGACCGTCCCTGTGCGAACTGATTGCATATAATCCACTTTATAATAATGGCAACTTTTAACAACGTCATCATATTTTCCCTACTGGAGCCTCAACGATAATTGATTCCTGTCAATCAAGTAAACATTTAACCCGGTATCGTAATTTCCCACCAATCTTACCTCGTGCATTTGACACGCTTTTGTATTTCGATGTCAGTTATGTTTAAGATTTCTATTTTGTAAGCGATATCAAGTTCCAATGCTCAAGTAGTTGATTGTATAATTTATGCAATAAACAAATAACGAAATTTTTGTAAGCGATGTCAAGTTAGTTGATTGCATAATTTCTGCAATAAATATTACCTTTTAAAAACGGAATTGACTTTTACTCAGTAGATCAATGATTTAATCTTTTTTGGAATGTTCAAACTTGTCGGTGAAAAAAAAACAATGAATAAGGGCGATCTGAATCTGAATCTGATGAAAACTGTTTGTTATTCACCCAAACTTTTATATTTGTTGAATTTATTGAAAACAAAACATTGCTGATGAAAGCAGTGCCGAAATTTTCATTTTCTTTAAAAAGAGAAATACGATATTGGAATGTTATCAGTGAAACTTGGCTTACACTTTTTTCTCAAGATCTAGAAATAGCAGTAGAAAAAAAAATCCCGTAATTTTACTAATAAAGGAGGTACCATTTGATGTTAAGGGGGGTTTATAGGATGTAATTTGAAAAAAAAAGAGTTTTGAGTAAAAAAAAGACACGATGAGCAACTTGGCAAAAAAAAGCAGGACGTAAATTTATATAAAAAGTCAGGATAAAAAATGGCAGGACTGATTAGAGCGAAAATAAGAAGGCAGGACAGAGATTACAACTAAATAAAATGCAGGATAACATTTTTCATCTTAGCCTCCCCCACTCCCACCCCTAAAAATCAAATGTTAACTCCCGCAGTGGACGTATGTTTTTGACAAACAACAATGCATTTTTATTCTGACAGTAGCAAAATTGTGAGACACATGGTTTCATTGAAACCATTTACATTTTTTTTTAATATAAAAAACATTCCGGACATCAGTAT